TCTTATAAATGTAACAAAGAAGGTGGAAGATTTTCATCAACGACATCTATCAAAACTAAGATGAAGATCTTTCCTATTAAAAAAAAATAAGATCTATGCAAGATAACATTTTACTTTCTATCCTTGTTGTAGCTTCTTTGTATTTGTGATACTAAAGACAAAAAAAACTAACAACCAGTATATTTGACTCAAGAGCCTTTATTTGCTAACCAGCCAGATAAAACATTAAGATTGTCACAACCTTCAAGACGATGCAATTGAGATGAAGATATTTAAGAATGACATATTCTTCTTCAAACGGTGGCGAGATACAATGCGTTTGATATCATGACCTTCAAAGAGACTCCTAATATTTGGTGATTTTATTAGAGGTAGGAACAAGCCTTAATGATGTTCCAAATGTTTTATTTGAAGGAAGTTATGAAGGTTTCAATAATGATCAAATAGCAATGTAATCTTCCCGCCCTAGTATGGAGATACTATTGATAGTTGAGAGATCCTATTAACCATCTTTGAAGAGAACAAAGATCAGAATATGTAGCAAATATAATTTGGTAGATCTTGGATTTTTTTAACATATGATGACCGCTTTTTGTAGAACTTGTCCCTAGAAGGGAAGATAATGTCATGGACATATATATGTAAATCAATAATTACCTATATAATTATATAAAAATAGGTAAAAATAGATTAGTTCTATAATATCTTCTATAAAAGCTTCTTAGAAGCTTTATAGACGTTGCTTTGATTTTATAGGTGTCTATAATTGATTTTATAGGTTAGAAACATAGTCAACAAGTTAGCCATGTATCACACATGTTGGTAGCTTGAAGAACAAGCTAACTATGTAGTGCCACCTAAAAAACTTGCCTTGTAAACTAAGGCATGTATCTTGTAAAATCAACACATATTAGAAGTTCTATAGAGTATCGTCACATAGCTTTTAGTTAGATGGTATATATGAAAATAAGACAGAAGCCTTCTTCACTCTTATCAACTCCTTTCTTGTTTTTAGTCTAGATTCAAGAGTCTCTAATTTCCTTGTCTTTTGGCAATAGCCATTCCAGTTTCTTTTTAATATATATATATACTTCTTTACTTTTATTTTATTATACTTATTTATTTACTTTTATGAAGTTTTTATCTTTGATAGTTTTAACGGGTGATGGATCAAATTTTATGTGACTTATAAATTATTAGATGTTATATAAATGATATTATTATTTTTAATATCACTCCATAAAATCATATGAGATATTTATAAATAGTATTTAAATAATTATAGCAATAGAATTTATACTTGCATCATGAAAAATATAAATTCTTTAATAAATAATTACCATACTTGACTTATATGATTATTCCATAAAATCTTTGCATACAACAAGCAAAAATAGATACTTTGTAAAAAATCTTAACACTAAGTGATGTTTCATGACTTTAAGCTTTTCTAGAATTAGTAAACTACTACTAAAGATTTATTAAAAAATTTAATATTATTGCCAAGCTTTTAACTATTTTCACATATAAAGATGAATCATGGCCTTGAGGTCATGAGCAACAACATGCATTTGATACATTGAAGCAAAAGTTGGATCCAATTCTAGTGCTTCAATATCTACATGCCAATAAATATTTCTAACGTTACATATATAGGAGTGCACTAGGATTGGAAGCAGCCTTGATACAAAAAAATGATATAAGATGGAAATATGTCATTTCATTTACTTTTTGAACTGATAGCAATGCAAAGTCAAATTACTCATCTTATAAAGGAAAACCTTTAGTAATAATTTGGACTATTGCTCACTTTTGACCTTATTTGTATAGTCAATATTTGATATTGGTAATTGATTATCAACCTTTGAAGTGGCTTATGGAATTAGATAAGCTTATTAGCAAGTTTGTAAGTTGGACTTTTTTGCTTCAAGAATATAACTTTGAGGCCGTGCATCGGACAGGCATTAGCAATTTGAATATCAATAGATTTTCTTATAATCTATGGCCTTCCTTCAAAAAAAGACTTAATTAGAGCTTGGTAGCATAGAAATTTTGATCAAGATACAATTTTTAGATGGCATGCAACTACATACATGACTTTAACGATAAGTTCTACAACCGTAGTTCTTAACTAGAATTTAAATGGAAAATTGGACAAGAATCAAGTAATTAGTGTTATATGAGAAGATCTTACAATCTTATACAAGCATCAAAAAGAAAAATTTCCTTCAACTATGTCTAACATGGAAAGAGATAAGATTAATCATCGAATAATAAGATTTTGTTGGGTGAATAATTTGTCATTTTGTGTGTAGGCTGATGGAACTAGACGCATAGTTCCAAGCTCAAATAAAATAGCCTCTTTAATATGACAAGTATATAAAGAACTTGGGCATTTTAGGTGTGCAAGATACATTCTATGTTGCATAATCAATATTAGTAGAGTGGTAAATATCAACAAGTAGTTATATATGTCTCTTGGTATGAGGTATGTGATGAAATTAGATCAAGCTCTAATACTTTATCACCTTAATTGAAGCTACTACATATTAAGGATTTATGTTATTATTAGTCTTTGGACTTTACTAGACCACTTGTTATTACCTCACATAGAGTTAAATATGTGTTAGTGATGGTAGAGCATTTTAACAAGTAGATTGAAGTTGTGACTTTTACTACAAAATTCTTTAGAATTGGCAGCTATGGCTTTTTTTGATCAAGTATTGGCACGTTTCAAAGCTTTTGGTGAAGTCTTAATAGATCAAGGGAGAAAGTTTTTTAGAAGTTTTGAAGCTTTATATACTAAAGCTTTAATAGATCATTGTACTATGTCTAAAAATCATCTTAAGACAAATGGCCTAATTGAACGGATTATTCAGACTATCAAACGTGAGTTATGAAAGTATGGATTACTTCATTGCAATCATTGTGATTGGAACTTGAAGTTGTTATGGATTACAATGGATTATTGCTTCAATAAACAAGCATCTTTGGCATCTTATAGTCCTTATCAATTATTGTATAAACGGGAGTCAATTCTACTCAATTCAATATTTGAGAAGCTAGCTTTAATTATAGGCCTACATAATCTTAATGTTTGAACTCAAGGTGTACATGACCAAGCAAAGTTCTTTAAACAAGCCATGCCTATAGCTATGTAGAACTTATCTATTGCTCAACATTGTGATATTTTGAGATATGCTTGTATTTATAGTGGAGCATATTGATCCTAGTTGCAAAGATTTTCTAAAAGAGATTATGTATATTTACAACGTAAGATGCTAATAATACATAATATTAAAGCAGGGCATATAATTCTGCATATAAAGAATCTATTGTCCAATGGTATTTTTTTGTTAAAAGGCAAAGATGGACAAGAGTGTTGGAAGCATTCAAAGAATTGTGTTCCTTATCATCTTCATATTGATGGTTCTATAAATCTTGAATTGATAGTTATGCCAATTGGTCTTATTTATTTTATATGTAGTAAGAAGAAAGAAACTTCTATCATACTTATATATATTCAATGCTAATGAAGGTGGCATAAGGCATATTTGACACCACCTCTTTTGACATTTCTATCAAGAGATTGGATTTGTCCTCGTTATAAGAAGTCTTTTAGTTATGCTTCATCTCTTGATAAGGATTAAAGATTTCTTCTATTGTGTGTATTACACACTTTAGTGGTTTAACTATTATAATACTAAATTTGAAAGAATACAATTTGGCATTCACATCATGGTAGCGTTTATCTTTAATAATGTATGTTTGTAATCTTAGTTGACTAGAGGGGCTCCTAATCAACTAAAGAAGGCACTTGAGAGTGTGTTGGGTATGCATTTGTATTTGGTTTAAATTACATACTTTATGATTGGTTAGTAGAATTCAATGTATTAGGATCTTATTGTTGCATTTTTCTATTTATTTTCCACAACTAAGTATCAAAATATTTTGAAGCTAAAATTCATATTATATGACAATGTGGCAATATTTTATTTAACCTTCAATATATCTCTCACTTATAGGATATGTATCTAACTTGTAAGACAAATTTCTTATTTGTAGACTACATATCCACTTTCTACTACAAATTACTAATATATGCAATACTTCTAAGAAGCTATTATCAAATTCATCTATTCATAATATCTAGATAATTTTTTGAAGTAAATATGGATGTTTTTCACACTTATATTCTCTCATCAACAATTATATGTTAAATTGTTGTGCATTGAATGTAAACATAGTGTTACACTACTTTTCAATTGCATTGAATTCTTTGAGTATACTAAAAAGATTTTTTATAATGAAATATTCAAACAATTACATTTTTCATAACTGTGACACAATGAAATCTTTACATTTACTTTTTATCTAATACAAAGCAAGGATTGCAACTGTAGTTTATTTTTATAATCATGATTGATTATTGTTTCAAATAAAATTATTAGGTTTTCAATCATTTTGTAACAAAATGTGTATAAAATTATATTCAAATTTGTAAAAACCAAAATTGTAATGTTTGTAAGCTGATTATTCCTATAAAAGTTCAAATTTTCTTGAAAATAAATATTTTACACCATCTATGCATCTATGGTGCAATTATTTATGGCAATTTTACCTACATTCAAGTGACATCTATTATTGAATGGAAAAATATATATATATATATATATATATATATACCATAATACCTGTAAAATAATAATGATAAAATGCTAAAATACAATACTATTCATAAAAGAATAAAACAATACAAACAAATATGATTCAAACTGATTATAACTGTTATTGGTAAGTTATGAATGTAGAAAATGCGGTTGGAAACCAATAATCGTAAAAAAACAAAAAAACAAACGCAAACAATCAAACCAACAAAATAAAAGTAAACATCCGAAACGGCTTTTTAAAACACGGATGAAAGTAAGTACATCCACATCCAACGAATGGCCGTCGAACTCTCATCCTTCGTCCAACACACACGTGTTTTTTTTGCTTTACAAGAATTAGGGCTTTGTGATGGAGGCCCTGGCTATGGCGGAGGCAGAGGAGGCTGCGCCATGAACCGTCAGCAGTATTCGGAGTTCCAGAAGGCGGACTTGAATCTCAGAGAGACAGTGATGGACTCGGCAAGATGCTGCTGGGTCTGCAATTAACCTGTGGGGTGAGTTGGCGCAGTCCGAGCCCTATTCACCAGAATTTGTCTGGGATGACCGAGTCGTTTGCCCTTGCTGGTCCGACTCTGCGCGTTTAGGGTTTCAGAGTGGTGGGCATCATCCTTAGCGGAGTTCTAATGGGTGCATCTCGCAATCTGTGTGGTTTTCATATTTTAAAATTCTGCTCCGCTGTAAGTAAGAATGTATTTTTAATACGCAGCTTGCCAGCCACACGGTTGACTCCGGAATTGAGGGAGCGCATCTGGGGCCCTTAAAAACTGGCTGGCCCATGAATGTATGGTCTTTATTTCGGAGGAATTGAGGAGGTTCGTTTCTGATGATCATCTTTGTTGTTGAAAGCGAAGCAGTGAGGCTGGGACCAAATTTAGAAGTACTTGGATGGGTGATGTTCGTCTGGCCGGTCATCCATCTGTTCGCGGTGGCCCAGGAACCCCAGTGTTCAGGAGAATTTCAAACAAGACGAGTGTTCTGAGGCCAAGAGTAGCACCAGCATGACTTCGGCAGCAATAGTGGACTAGGGGGATCAGAAGTCACGATCTCCAGTTAAAGAAGCTTACCATTTTTCTATTGCTACACACATGGTAGTTTTGTCTTTGCAATGTGAGATTCCATCGGGTCGCAGGGTGTATTGAAAAAAGGAGAAAGTCAGGAGATGTGATGGTGTCTCAAAAAACAAGCCCACGATATCTGGAATCTAGCTTGCCTTGTATCTTCCAAACACCCTAGGTTCGGCTGCTGCTGAATTTCGCTGTCCACACGTGCAGTCTGCATCGGATTCTCTGGGGATACTGTGGTGCCATTTGAGAGCAAGGTTGGTCGATCTGACCCATCAAGCACACTGCGACGAAGTAGCAAAGCGAGAAGAATATGTCCCATAGCGAAGACTCGATGTTACCTACTGTGTTACGCATCGACAGTCGCGGGACCGATGGCTCTTTAGCTTTATACTTTCTTAGTTTCTGGCAAGTTGACGGTGAGTCGACGAAGAAAAATTATTGCTCAGACCCCGTGTGTAGGTTTTGGCTTTTTCCATATTCACGGAAACTCCAAGCGGCAGATTATGACATGATAAAGCATCTCGAATTGGGATGAAGGGGCTATGTAGGTGCTCTGCTTCCACTGTTGCCTCTCATGACTTGTCTTCTTGCCCACGGCCTTGCCGTCACGGCTTAAATCACACCGTCTGGACTATTCTTCTATCAACAGTTTGCGATGAGAGGCATCCCCAGACAGACCCCATTCGAACGCACCTTCATGGCATGCCCCACTAGCCTGGTAATCAGTTACTGGTATGTATAAGTTCTGCTCCAACTTCAGTGTTGTCGCATGCTGTGAGGGTTTTATTTCTTCATACTGTAAAGCGCTCATGATGAGACATCGTCTCGTTCTGGGCTTTCAATACTTCACTTTATAGAACTTTTGTGCTCGTTCCGAGGGTGCAGCATTTCAGTTCGAGGATTTGGGTTTCTTGTATTTGGGTCACTTGTCTGCGCTCACAACTCTTCTCGTCGACGGTAAATGGCTAAAGTCAACAACCAACTACTTTCCACCTCCGGAAGTTTTTCTGTAATCGACGAACAACTTTACCCGAAGTTATCTGTCAGATCCTGAGAGGAATTTTCAAACTTGTGTAGCAATTTTGGCACTGAATCTTCTGTATTATGATTGGGAGTGAGGATTTGGAGGTTTTAGTCATTCTACCCTTCAAAATAAATGTATTGAATCAGAGAAAGACCTGGAGTCCACAGCCACAGGAGACGTGGAGATGAAGATGGAATTGATGGGATGTTGGGCATGCCCAACACGATCTGTCAACATTCTATGTTATATTGACGGGTCGTGATGGGCACTCTCAATGTCCACTTCATGATAATATAACTCTTTTTATGTGACATTCGACGACGACGATGACGGTAGTCTTCTTCGGCACCTCTTTTTAACGTTTCAGTGTTACCCTCAGCCTTGGTTATTGCTGGACTTGCATGCATCTTCTTGCACCTTCGTGGACCGCGGAAGCCGTGTGCCAGGCCGTGACCTGTCGTAATATTGCAGGGGGCTCTTAAAGTCTGAAGTTGCTTGTGGATTCTATTACTCTGGTAGAAGGTACACTGATTGGTTTTTTGATATTCTGGCTTTCTACTTCCGTACGTAGCAGCATCCACAACAGGTGGTTACAATTGATGAAAGTACTGTGCTCACAGGATGCTTGAGACCGATCAGAGTTTTGCACTGCAGCAGGAACCAGTTGACCTCGGTGTCATTCGTTGCATGTGGGGTGGTTTGAGTAACTTCATGGACAGAAAATCATTTTAATTGTTACGAGCGGTGAAGGGACCTAGCCTTGTGGTTCTGCAATTTCATATCTGAAGATGAACCTTGACAATTGATAATCCAGAATGTCTGATCTACGACGCATGGGTGCAAAGTAGGCTGTTCTGAAACACTGTAATTGATCATCGGTCTGCTTCCAAACTTCTAAACTAAAAAGGAAATTGGGTGGATTGGAAGTGTAGTGTTCTGATTCAACTAACGATTGATTTTCTTGAGATTACATCTACATTTCCAAATTGGAAGTATTGTTGTTTATCTTAATGAGAAATGTTACATATTTTACGTTTTCTATTTAACATCTTTTTTCATATTAGGAACCATTGTCACCTAGAAATATGATCTGTTTTAAGGTATTTCGACGACCAAAAATAATTATAGTAATGACATTAAAATATTAACAACAATAATGATATACATAGAAATGATTTATTAAAAGCATATTTTCGCTTTCCACTTAGTGTCAATTTAGTTGACGACTGGTGTACTAATTGTACGAGTGCCATTTTTTCACTTCAGTAATAATGTACATTTTACCCTTGTTACATATTTTAACTCCTTCGTGAATAAAGACAGACCTTATTTAGATGCAAAACACTGTTAATCTGAGTATAATTTTTTGTTAAAAACACTGGTACCTATCATAGTTTGATAAAATACATGGTTAGTGCTCTCTCTCTAAATGAATAAATATATAGCATTTGACCTTATAGATTTAGACAAGTAAACCACAACTCATCTTGTAAAAACTCAACTAAATGACTGCCAATAAAATTCACTTAGTTGAAAATGAGACCAAATATATCTGCAAGCCCTCTTTGATAAATGTAGGGAAGTAACAGTGTTAACCAATTGTTCATTACTGTATACCCTGAATTAATAACTTTCATAATGTACTACACCAGAAGAAAGAAGTTAGATGTACCTTAAAAAAGATAATATGAAGGGTTCCGACAGCCACGATCCACGTCATTTCCCACAAAGATGTCTTAAAATATCATTCAGAGCAGATGACTTCGTTTCTACTAAGGCTCGTAAGAAATCTCTTCAAGAAACATCGAAGCTGCTCTACATACCTAATACTAAGTGGTAGTAGCCAACCACTCCAACAATGTTTTCCAAATGAAACGTAACAGAGTTCAGAGGGTTTGAAAATTGCTGCTTGAAGCGAAGTTTACAGAATTAATAACGTCTGAATATCAAATACTTCGACGACCAACTTATATATTGGTGATGTACAAAAGGTAGGCTCATGAAACTGTTCGAAAGATTGTAGAACACTTCCAGTCAGTCGTATACATTGTTATTGTTTTTACAGACTATGCCCTATGAAATCTCACGGAGCTTCTTCAAGACCATATAGAACCAGAAGCTTTCAAAATTGAACCCAACATCACTCGCACTTAAACATTGGCTCAACCTCCGCTATCAGTGCCTGCGCAGCTGACAATTCCTCACCCCCTTTGCAAACCTCGTCGTCCTCTGCTTCAGCCTGTCCCCCAGCCACCAGACTCATCCAAATCAAGTCCACATACGAAAACAACACCCGATCCCAATAGCCTCATAATACACACGCCCCTCACACACCCATCGACGAAATGCATTTACAAATGACAGCAAACACCAAAACCCTAAGAGAAATGCTCCAAGCGCTCACCACAGCATCTCGAAGTGCGTCCAGGGCGGACTCCAAACGCCGTCGGCAATCAGGAATCATCATCTGCGACTCCGAGAGCACATTCACCTGCACAACTAACGGATCACACCCACTCAGAAAACTCAAATAAAAAAAAAAAACCCCCACGAACCAAACGATGAAGAGCTAGAAAACCAAGACAGAAGTTAGGGCACGCGACTGCTTGCACATAACCTGCTGCTTGATGTCGTAAGGATCAGCGTTGTTGTCACGCATGGCCTGGGTCTTGGCAGCCTCACGCTTCTCCTGTAACTAAAAAATTTGAGCATTAATGTATCTTAACAAGATATTATTTTATGAAGAGATGAGTGAAAATCTAATATAAGATCATGTTTTAAAATTATGTTATACAATTATACTATGTAATTAAACTATAAAGTTATATTTTGAAATTTTATTTCATTTTTTAATGCTAAAGCTTATTTACTGTAGCTTTTGATAGATAACAGGTGAACTTAATATTGATTTTTTTATTAATATAATATTATGTTGTATCATAATACATACTAAAATAGAATGTAATATATTAATTTCTGTATATATAATTTCAATAAATTTTTATATTATATATGTGTATATATATATATATATATATAATTTTATTAAGTTTTGCAAATTGTGGTTAACATAAAACTGCATGTAAATATTACCATCAAATTTTATGAATTTTAATATCTTAAAAATATTGCACATGTTGTATCAGCTGAAAGTGTGAATTTAATCAACAACTTGATTGCATTGCATATCATGTTTTGACTTCGTGCAATAATTTTAATATTATTTTGGTATAAAGGTGGCAACAAAAAAAATACACATTTTTCAAAAAAATTGATTGAGTTGTAAGACACTCTTCTTTGTATACAACCACCCAAATTATTTTTCACGATATATAACTTACTAACATCAAAATCTGATTCATAATTTTTTGCAAGAATTTCAAATCAATTTTCACCATACACAAAAATTAATGTAAAAAATATATCTTTTATAATTTTTATTTTTAATAATTTTAATCAAGAATTTAAAAAATATACATGTAATGATAAGGTCTTATGTATATTTATAATTTTAAAGGTATCTCATAAAAAGAAGTGCAACACATGCATATCCATCAAACAAGTTAATACCACCATTTATTACTAATATAACCAAGACATAAGAATTTGATATTACTAATATTATTTTCTATGTTATTATTTTTTAAAAAATACCATTTATACTAGGGAATTTCAAATCTTTTTGAATCTTAGTTTATTAAAAAAAAAAAGTGTTTATGTACAATAGAGCTAATTATTTAAAAGGTGTACATGCTTAAAATTATTTCATTAAATTAAAAGTTTAAAAATATAATTTCTAATTCAGTAAATAAAAGCTTAAATTGTAATAGAACTATAATTTAACTTTTTAACTTGTTGTGTTCTTTTTGTATTTTTTGTTTGTTTTTTTTTAAAAAAAAAATCACTTGACAAAAACCAATATTTGTAGATAGTCATTACATTTTGTTTTAACATTCTTATAGACATACAAGTACAAATGAAAATTTTATATATTAATTATTTAATAATAACTACTATTATTTGCTCTCAAAATCTATACATTATATTAGAAGTCATAATAGGATACTAAATTTAATAAGATTTTAGATATGTATATATATATATATATATATATATATAATATTTTTAGAATTAAAAGTAATTCTTTACTTTTTATGAAATTCATCAAAGAAGTGTGAAACAACATATCAAATATAGATTTTTAAGACATAAAAAATATTATTTTTTAATTATATGAATATTTTATTTAAAATATTTCTATATATATGTATATATAATAAATATATCTTTTAAATAATTATTTTTTAATTAAATTTCTAAAATTAAAAATTTAATAACTTGATTATCAAATAAATTATGGCTTAAATAACAAGTTACTAAAAAATTCAATTTAAGATTTGAACCTTTACAAAAAAATACAAACATATATATATATATATATATATTCACAAAAGATTTTATACATCTTCAATTTTATTAATTATTATTTAAATTTTTATTTTCTTATTTTTAATTAACATCCATATATTTTGATATTATTATTTTGTTATTATACTAATACAAATCCATGTTGTTGGACACAACAATCTTTGGCACATCCATCTATTGCTTCATTTATCTATTCTCTTTATTTCTTTGGTTTTCATGTTTTGAAGTTCTTTCATTCCTATATTCATTCATTTTTTTGTTTCTTTGTTCTTTCATTCTCTCATTCTGTCAAATCAAAAGGTCAATACACTCTCATATCACTAAAAAGGTATACATCACAATGAGCTGAAAGTGTGAATTTAATCAACAACTTGATTGACCTTTTGGTTCATTGTGATTCATATCTTGTTAGTTATAATGAACTAAAAGGTCAATACACTTTCATATTACTAAAAAAGAGTTGACAATCATTTAAAGATGGTATAATATTAAATTAAAATGATTATTGCTAATGACAAAAAAATTAAAGACTCTTGAAACAAGACTAAAGACAGTAAAGGCATTGATAAGATTGAAGTAGGCTTCATTCTTGCCTCCATATATACTATCCAATTTAGAGCAATATAGCAATATTTTATAGGATCCTTAGTATGTATCTAACTTCCTAGATACATATTTAACTTGCAAGGCATGTTTTATACACATGCGCCACATAATCAAATTGTATCACAAGTCTCCAATATATACAACACATAGCTAATTTGTTGGTTAAGCTTCTATCCTAATAATAAACTATAAACACATATAAAATCAAATCCATATCTATGAAGGTTCTAATAAGCTTGTCAACAAGATATTATCAAATCTATATTCATTTATCTTTTATTTAATACTTTTTATTTATGTAATTATATATATTTGTGACATTTTTCCTACTTCTAGATACAAGTCTTACAAGAAGGAGTGATTGCATCCTTATGCTTCATTTTGGTTTTGATGGATGTTGTTAATGAAAAACATCAATTGTTCTTCATGCATTTGCAAGATTTATTGTTGGCACTTATGTGCATTCACTAATATCATATCCACACCAATATATAAAATATTTTTAAGACTTCTTCAATATTAAACTTTTAATAATTGTATATTTCCATAAGAGAAGGTTGTATTTGTCTTCTTTTCAATATATATATATATATATATATATATATATATATATATAATCTTGTATAGCTTAATAAAAGATATGTGGAACACAAGATGGATCTTTCTAGACTTCAATAGGTGTATTTGATATATAATTAGATTAATTTATTAACAAATAAAAAATGGCCCAAGTTTACAACAATTCAACTTATCACAAGAATGAATAATCTTGATATTTTGATAAAAAAACCATACCTTGTCACCAACATGGAATTGAAATCATTCTTTGAATAAACATCTAAGTTGATTGTTGTCATTTTTGAGATTTTTTTAATTATGTCTATAACATTGCATATAGCTCTAATAAACAATTTGTAAATTTTTTTTGCATGATTATTATTTTTTAAAAAATCAAAGATAAAAAGTTATGGATGATAATCATAATTAGCAAAGAAATGTATTTGTTGAGTAATAAAAACCTACCATTTTATTATAATCAATTTTTTTTAATGGCATAAGAATTCTTCAATCATCTTAATAGTAGTTGATGATATATCTCAATTATTACTCTAAAATTAGATTCACTTGTTTTCTTTCTCCATCATTTTGAGAATAAAAAGTCAAAGATAGTTTTATGTTGTGAATTAAAATAAACTTCTACTAGTTGGAAGTCTAATCCAATTCACAATAATTTTAATTATCTAAGTTTTTTAACAAAAATCCTATTAATATTGATTAATGTCTCATACTTCCAATAATTCTTAAATCATGAATTAGATAAAATCTTCTAGTCGGAAGTTTTCTCTAGCTCACAACTATTACTTACTTATGAATTAATTAGCTAAAAAATCTTCTTACTTCTTACTTAAAAATCGTTATACTTTTTAATTAATCAAATGATATATTCTCATATTCACAACACCATAATATAACTACTTAAATAATTCAAAAGTCTATACATTTAAAGAGAATTTTTATATAACTTTAATTTTAATTCTTTTTTAGTATTAATTATCATTCAAATTTAAAACTTCATCCAAAAATGATTATTCATCTAAAAATGATTTTTATTTACAAATAAGAATTCATCCACTTCAGACAAATTTTTATTTATCAAAATTCATCTAATTTGATTTAGCTTTATCCACATAATTTTTCATTCAATAGGATTTAATTTCATCATCAATTTACATCCACATGATTCATCTATAATAATTAACTGATGGACTTAAAATATCATCCAAGTAAGAACCAAAGGTGGATGGCACTTCTAAACCTATTACTGCATCCACCTTTATAATTTAACATACCATGACTAATTACAAGTTTCAAATCGAATCCAAGTAATTTTATTAGAAAGAAGATTTTGCCTTAAAATTCAATTGTACAACTTTCATATTGCCCCTCAAAGTTAATTCTTTAATTCAGCAAGATAATAGACCTCTTTCTACCAAACTGAGTGTTACAACTTGGTTTTTGATTTCTCTTTAGTAAATCTAAACTTATTAAAATTCTAAATCCAAATGGCACTTTTTTCAAAATTTGAGTCCTCGAGTTATGACAATTCTGTTGATTTTTTCCACCAAAGTCATGTCTTTATTTGGCTGCTTGAATTTGGAGACAATATATCTTCTTCACAAGAATCAATACTCCTACCATGCCTCGGCTCTAATATAATTGATTCATAGCTTTTTTAAAACTACACTTTATTAACTCTCTAATAAAATAATTCTTATTACTTTATAGCTTGGGAGAAATGAAAAAGAGCCTTTGAAAATAGAACTACCAAATTATGAAGGAAGAATACCACCTATTACGAAGTTAGATTTTTCTTCTTTATAAAAATTTCAAATTCTAAGGTTTTTATGTCTAGAAAACCATAAAAATAATTACTAATTTTATTTAAAATTTCAAAGAATTATTGTAAAACTAAAAATAGAAAATAAAAATAAAAATAAAAACAACTAAGCTACTTTCAAAACTTAGGAAAAAATTGGCATGCTTCATCTATCAACAAAAGAAAGAGAAAGGGAAAGGGCTTGGCAACTCAATCCTTTTATATAAGTATTTAAAGCCCTAAGAATGGCAGCCACATCTCCACCATTGAGATTCCATGAA